TCTATGACCATGTAAAATTGTTGCACTAGTAGCATGAAACATCTTAAATAGAGTGATTGAGTCATGCCTCAACCCATCATTCTTTATCTTTGTAGACATTATTTAATAATATTTTTCCTCACATTTACTTTAGTTTGGTAGTAATTTCTCATATTTTCCATTGTGAGAAACAATGCTAATATAATGGAATGTATCCAGGGAAGCCAAGAGACAACTTTGATATGCAACAGATATGAAGATCAAGAAACAATATTTGTACAATTAGATGAGTCAAAAATTTAAATACCCATATTATCCAAAAAAAATATTAATCATTTAATATCTTTCTTTCAAATATAAAAAGTATTGAATTTAAGTCCCACAAAATACGACTATGATATATAAAGAGATTGTAATGCCTGAATACTCTATTGGGATGGAAATATGAGTGTGAGAAGTATATAAGTGTTAAAAATTAACTAGTACTAAAACTTTAAACTTAGACTTTTAAGGACCGTAGGTAACTCAAAACAACTTGGAAAAAATCACCATTGCCAAATTGAGATAACCCAAGGAGGCAAGGAAACCAAGCCCTATACAGGACAGTAACTTAATCTAGGTCTCTGCATGGTTATCAAAATAATATAAGAATATAATATCAAATCTGAAATTAAAAGAATTGATCAAGTGCCCAAAATGGCAATGGTTATTGCCATCACTATATTTGTTAGGGTCACTAATTTGTAATTAATTTTATCTTTTTTTAATTGTTAAAAACAATTGATAACACCAACAATCGTAAATAACTCGGTGATAATCTCTTTCTAATATAAGCAAAAGGTTCTAAGTTCGAGTCACACAGTATGCAATAAGGTGGGTTAAGAGATAGGAAAATGTTGCCTTTTATTGTACAATCTAAAATAAAAAAAAATTATAACTGAATGTTTACACCATAAATTATAATTTTTAACTAATGCCACGTATTAATTGATAAAGTGAGGTCACATCAAATTTATTGGTTTAGATTTAGATTACTTGCAATGGTGATGTCTATCTAATTAGTTGCAATTTAAATTGAAAAGAAATAGAAATTCCTATAATTGGGGAGGAAGTGCGATTGAGGGATTAAGTTAGCAATAGAATGGTATAGGTGGCTAGATCTAATCCAACCTTGACTTGGTCTGTTGATGTGCTCATTATTTTTTCTATGTGATTATCCATGTTCTATAATAGCTAGCAGGTGAAGCAAGAAAACAATTTGAAGAAAGCATATAAAAAGAAAGTTTCAAATTATTCAACACATGACAACCAGCCCTACACACAACTTGTTCAATTTCAATTCTCTAGTTTCATAAGGATGGCTCTCTTTAACTTTTAAATTTCATCTTCAGCATAATATTTTGTAGATTTTAGGTTGTTTCCAATATTCAAATAGCTCAATTAGTTCATTTATTTACTTCTACAACTACACCTCATGTAATGAACAAGAAGTATTTTAACTTCTACAAAGTACTATCTTTTGTTTTATCGTTGTTTATTTTTAGTTTATGATATGTAGTTTTTTTCTTAAAATGGTTACTTATATGGTATTCACCCTTCTTTCATGTTTTATGTTCCATGTTAGTTTAATCTTTGTTTGTATATGTTTTATAGTTAATTAGTTTCAAATTTTCAGTTTTGTGCTAGTTTAATTTGCAAATCTTTCTATAAACATAAGTTAATCTGGCTCTAAACATGGTAATTTTAATTAAGATACATTCATCTTTTGCATGTCTATCTTAATTTGCATTTTATTTAGTGCATTTATGATCTATTAACTTTAAATTTACAAAATTGATAAAGTTCTTGGAATTATCTAAGGCAAATTAGTAATCAATTTTGTAAGAAGACATCCCTCCCTCTTGCAAATTATCTGAAGATGTAGAATTAAATCTTAAACTAATGTTCTTCTAGCCATCCTAACTAACGGAGGTCAACCGCTTGGAAGAAGGTCATTAGAAAAATTATTTTTTCTTGTTTTTCAGAAAAGTAAGTGGTATGCCTACATCCAGATTTGTCATGTGCAATGCTACTTGAGAATTTTTGAGAGAACGCTAATAAAATAGTTTATATTTATTATTTAATAGATTTAAAATTAATTTATAAATAGATATTTTCAAATGTTATAATTAACTATTTGAAAAATAAAATAAAATAAACTAATAAAATTATAGATAAAATTGATGACAAATTGGTGTCTTAGTAATGGAAATAACATCGCCCCAAAAATGAAAGTAATTTAAGACCTGATTAGTTGGTTCAACTTCGAAAAATATATTGCTTTTGATGAAAGATGGCAGTGGTGGCATGGGGATTAGTCCACATTGTAAGCCATTAAGCTTTCTCCTTGTTCTCTTATTTTTTGAAGGCTAAAAGTGAAATATGAATTGGAACTAAAACAAAAAACTGAAATATGAGGTGTATTTATAGTGAAAAATGTAAAGAATATTGGGATTGGTTTGGTAAATAGAGTAAGGACAGCTTTGAGGCAAAAAAATATATATATAACCATGATTGACCGCAAAAGATGAGATTGCTACAGTAGTTATTGATCAAACATGTAGCCAAAAATTTGGCAAAATACCCAAATCCACCCCCAAAATATAATACTAGGGATGGATCTACCTCCGAACAAAAAACAAGGACAAATTCACCCATAAAGTTTTCGACCTGAACAAATAACCCATTATTTGACAGTCCACATCGACTAATGTCATCTTCCCATTAACAACATGCTTACTCACACATTTTAAACACGATGGAGGTTTTTTTGTCTACGTGGATGCTAAACTAGCCCATTCCCACCCATTTTAATCCTACATGGTGATTTTTCTACCTTTTCCATTACACGTCAACTGGGCCCCACCTAAAAAATTTCATAAAAATTAATTTTTGACTAAAACCTAACTTATTTTATCTATTTGATTAAAGATTAAATATGGAAATGAAAAGCCATGTAAACTTATAAACCTATAAACCCTATAAACTAAAACCAATCCCACGATTCTCTCATCTCAAGTCTCTCTATAGCAGTACTTGGGAGAATCTCTTGATCGATAGTTGGAGGGGATACGACATTGCTTGTCAAGTCTCAAGATTGAAATCGAAGCAGGAAATTGAGTTAGCCAGATAAGGGGCTTTGTTGATTAGGAAAAAAGGCAGTAAGTCTTGCTTTTGGTCTTTTAGTGTCTTTTTTTTGTATAGAAAGTTATGAGTGGGTTAGAGGTTTTTTAAAGTGCTTACATTTTGTAGGTTTGACTATGGGTTTGGGATCGGTAGTATCATAATATTGATGTTAACCTATCATAATATTGATGTTAACCTATCAGCCACTCAAAAAGATAATGTTTTTTTTTGTATTTTTTATTGAACAGCATGGCAGATGAATTCTGGGGAGTGTGGCATTTTTTCCATGGTGGGACATTTGTTTTAGGACCACCAATTGAGTATAAAGCCACTCAATGTACATCATTACCCTTTGACTGTGATAGGTTAAATGTTGGTGTGATCATGGATACAATTATTAGTTTTGATTGTGAAGATGTAATGATTAAGAATGTGTATTACACAACAATTGGAGGAAGTGTTAACACATTGAAGTGTTTGGCTACTGATGACAATATTAGGGACATTTTGCGCATGGTGCGTGCTGATGATTATGTTGATATATATGTTGATGAGGTCAATTTTGCCCAACTTGCTTTTCCACAATTATGTTGGGTTGATATCAATGTAGTTGAGGAGGAAGGTAGATATGAAAAAAAAAAAAGGTAGGTGAGGGTATTGATAATGAGGTTAGTGGAGGAGCAGCTAAAGGTGACTTGGGTAACATAACCCAAGAGTACCCTGTTAGTAGTAAGGGTAATACTAGGAATATAGTTGAGATAAGTGAATGTAGTAAAGGTAATAGAGGTAATTGTGAAGAATCAGAGTTTGGGTCAATTGATGGTTATGTTGATGATTGGAGCTCAATAGGTAATGAAGTAGAACCTCTTTGCAGTAGTGATAGAGATGATGAGGAGTTAATTAATGTGAAGAAATGTGCAAGGTCTATTAGGAGACCAACAGAAAGATTATAAGTTCCTAGTGGGCTTCAAACACCATAAGGGGTCAAGTACAAGCATGTTGCAAAGTAGCCAACCCCTAAATCTGTTGTACCAATGATTTTAATGATTACAAAACACATTTGAGTGACTAATTGATTTATTAAGTGTGTAGTTAAATTGCCAATATACTGTAAAGTAAGCAAAATGAGATTGCATTAAAAAGGGCTCAAAGGGTAAAAATATGCAGAGAGCTGGCTTAAGAAAATTGCAGCTGGCTCTAGGAAGCAAAAGTGCAGAGAGCCAGCTGCAGATTTTGTTGAGTCAGCTCTACGGGCCAGAAATTCAACTGCTGTGTTAGTGCCCGTGGAAAATGGAAGCAGAGCCGGCTCCAACTTTATAGCCGGCTATAAGGGCGCATTTAATGCACAACGGTCGACTCTTTTGAAGAATATTTAATGTATTTAAAGTCGGAGTTCCAAAGCCGACTCAAAGTCTTGCAGCCGGCTTTCAAGGAAAACAGAATGTGCAGGAATCCCGTAAAGCCGACTACAAAAATGGTGAGCCGGCTGTACAGAGCCGGCTCTAGGAAGTTAAGCCAGCTCTCCTGACAGTTCTGCAACTTGAGCCATGCGTCCTGCAGAACATTTAATGACCCCTAATGGCTAGAAATAGCTATTTTTGAGCAAGGGGCTATAAATATGGTTGGTAACAGATATGAACAAGTTTAGAGAGTATTGTATTGTATATCTTTACCTACCAACTTGTGCTTTAACTTGAGATTTTGATCTTTGAGAGATCTTTATTTGTAATCCT